ATGATGTTCCAAACCATAAGAAATAATAGCGAGTAGTGTTTACCATGGAACATGATCGTATGATGTTCCAAACCATAAGAAATAATAGCGAGTAGTGTTTACCATGGAACATGATCGTAAGCTGTTCCATACTATCAGAAATAATAGCGAGTAGTGTTTACCAAGCCTTTCGGAACTATAGCATCAACACGTTAGTATGAATGATTGTAAGCACTTGTAAGCCTTTCGGAACTTTAGCCTACAACTGTTTTCTTTGCAGGAAGTCGCGTGCAATGCGCTGCACGAGCTGTTAACCAAGACGGGGATCCAGGGCTGGAGTTGGAGAGCAAAACTGTGGTTATATCCTATTCTAATGGGTTGTGTTCACCTCGTATTGAGGGATCCACCGGTGCAGAACCATTTACTGCTAAGATGAGGTATACAGGTAGGGATAACATTTTGGTCTTGAACAGATGACAGTACGTTAGTACCACGCTGGAAAGATGTATTAGACGTACTAACGTTATCTCAGCTTCAGCGGGACGTATTATTTTGTTGTTTTACATACACAGTTTGTTCACTGTCATGATGAAAGTAGTATATACTGTAAAATAATTTTCTACTTATGATACATATAAACATTCTTTCCCATTCAAGATTTGCTATGTTGTTGTTTTACATACACAGTTTGTTCACTGTCATGATGAAAGTAGTATATACTGTAAAATAATTTTCTACTTATGATACATATAAACATTCTTTAACATTCAAGATTTGCTATGTTGTTGTTTTACATACACAGTTTGTTCACTGTCATGATGAAAGTAGTATATACTGTAAAATAATTTTCTACTTATGATACATATAAACATTCTTTCCCATTCAAGATTTGCTATGTTGTTGTTTTTTTCCTGTTAGGTCCAGATGATCAGGATTACCCCAACTTGATAAAACTGACCGTGGTCATTCCACACCGTGATGGGATGCTACCAGCTATCTCGACGCAACCATTGTCCAACTTCGAACTGACGTTGAGCCCAGATAGTCTGAGAGTTGGTACACATAAGTGTTCTAATCTAATAGATTACCAAGAAGTTCGCACCAAGCATGGGTTTCTCACCAACGATACGAAGAATCCTAATGTTATCGGTGAAGTTGAGCCTTACCAGTATAGTTCAGATCTGAGGACAGACCCTACACTCAGGTAGGATATTACAGCAGTCAAAAAATATCATTAGTTAAAAAAACGTAACATTACAATACATTATTTGAAATGTTTAGTATAATTCAGGTAAAGGTTTTTGACTTGCAACAGTTGCATTTGATAATTAAAAAAATTTCGACGTTAGTCCATTCGGTCTAACAAACGAAGACGGATCTTTGAGACCCATTTACATGTCTCTAAATTGTTAATGTGTGCCTATATCAAAACACTTTTCTGATTTTTAAACGATACTACCAGAACAATTTGGTTAAAATAATCAGTTTGCTGATTAACAAGTGTTGGTCAAATTAACAGTATTTTGCTTAAACAAGTCCAATAAGTTATCCTGGACGAAAATATATTAATTAATTTTTGTTATTTTAATCAATAATTTAAAAAAAATTTTTTAGTAGTTTTTTGTTTATTTTGCTGCAGGTTCTATAGGAACTTGGACTTGGAAGCTTGCATGTGGGAGTTCACAGCGTATTATGATATGTCAGAACTAGTGACCGACTGTGGAGGAACGATCACCAGTGATGGACAGGCAAGTTGCACTTTTTACTGCAGGGTTCTGCTGTGTTCGATTTAGATTTCTCTATAGAACTGAGCCGAGTGTGGTCTAGTGATTAGTGTGTCGGGCTGTGGATCACAAGGTTTGAGGTTTAACAAATGGTGCTGCTGAACGCGTGCACTTTTGCCTGTGGACGCGTTATAAACGTGACAGTCAATCTCGTTATTCGTTTCATAAGAGCCAGACAAAAACCCTTTTGACAGTTTGTGTTGCTGATTAGCGGCCTTCTATCTGATCAGTAGCTTAAAATTAGGGGTATCTATACTTGAACCTTATGCTATACTCGTGATATACCATAGCATGCAGGATCAACAGGCAAAAAGCTAGCATCAGAAATGAAACTCAATAACCCAGATCCTGAATCTTAGTAGTCTCTGATTTGGTCTTTTAATCCACGTGCATATAATGTGCCATTTAAATTGAAAATTTCAACTCCTGTCCGTATAAGTGATATTCTGAAACTTAGTTTAAAGAAACAAAAGATCGTAATACTGGTTAAGCTTTGAACTTGTGTTTAAGCCATCAATCCTGAGACTAAAGAAGTAAGAAATAGATAAAAAAAACTGTTATATCTAAATTTTTTCCCATATGAATCAGTGTACAAATTACAACAATAATGCGAGGTGGACCTAAATGAGCGGTCTGGCATGGCCGAGTAGTTCGGGTGCTCGACTCGCAATCTGCTTGTCCCGAGTTCGAATCCATGTCCTATCAAACAAGCTCACCCTTTCAGTCGTGGGGGCATTATCACGTGACTATCAATCCCACTATTCGTTGGTAAAGGAGTAGCCCAGGAGTTCGCGGTGGGTGATGATGTCTAGCTGCCTTCCCTCTAGTCTTAGACTGCTAAATTAGGGACGGCCAGTGCAGATAGTCCTCGTGTAGCTTTGCGCGAAATTTAACAAAACCAAACCTAACCGAGCTCCTATATTAGGTTATTGTAAAATGATCTATTGATAAAAAAAAATTATAATTTATTCTAATCAACAAGCAAGAAGATTTGCACAATTTCTATAAATGCGAGATACGTAAAGTCTGAATGAAAAAAATAAAACTTGAAAAATACAGAAATTAAGATAAGTAGTTTCGTTACCCCCCCCCCCTAGCTTTCCGAGTTTAGGTTTTAGCTGAATTAAACCATTAAAAATAATTTAAAAGCAACAACTAGGTGGCAGAAGGGGAAGTAGGGAAAGTCTGAGGATGTAATAATAATTTATTTCTTTAATAATTACAGGATATAGTTGTTTTTTTCTATTATATGCCAAGTTTTAGAAGTAATGCCATATTCGTTTCTATGGGTTAAAAAGTTGGGAGTTTTATATTTGATGAAAGGCATTATGGTCTAACTTGTAATAGCTAACGTTGAACAGTACAGTAGTAGAAACTATCATAGCTTTATTTTGCTTCTCTGTTGAAACTTTCGAAAGTGGGATAATTTCAACTTATTGAAACTTACAAATCATTGAAAAGAAAACTACTTTAAAAACTTTAAAGATTTACGGCCAACAAAAATAAACACCGTTTTAAAAATGTAAAATGCTAAAAATTTACTTAATAAAGAAGCAGACGACATTCTGTAGTTAATATCTAAGCTCCACCGCTAGGATTTCAACTGTAAAAAACGTAATGAAGTTATTTAACGTTGCGTCACCCATAAAAATAACACTGAACTATGTTCTGTATATTTCAGAAACTATAAATGATATTTTAACTTTATTACTTTCGCGCCATTACCTTCAATTTGCGTGTAATATTGTGTTTCATTCAGTAGAGCCTATTCTTCGAGGATTAACAATTTCAGCTGATTTTGATTTGAATTGTGTGTAATGCGTTATTACATAATCTACACCTATTTGCGTCATTGTTATAGACAGTTCTATGGTATCAGTAGGGTCTTATCTAACCAGTACTTCACTCTACAAAAATGTAAATGTGAAAACCAATATGTAATTAGATTTACCACTTGAAGTTTCATATTGTGGTGGAGTGAGTGTATGTTAAGCCTAGTCTTATTCTTTTTGATAAAGGGTGGATTTCCCCGAAACCTGCATAACTCAATGACAAGTGGTAAATTGAAGAATAGATTGGGCTTCATATTTATTTATTCATTTTATTTGATTTCCCCGAAACCTGCATAACTCAATGACAAGTGGTAAATCGAAGAATAGATTGGGCTTCACACTTATTTATTCATTTTATTTGATTTCCCCGAAACCTGCATAACTCAATGACAAGTGATAAATCGAAGAATAGATCGGGCTTCACATTTATTTATTCATTGTATTTGATTTCCCCGAAACCAGTATAACTCAATGACAAGTGATAAATCGAAGAATAGATTGGGCTTCACATTTATTTATTCATTGTATTTGATTTCCCTGAAACCAGCATAACTCAATGACAAGTGATAAATCGAAAAATAGATTGGGCTTCACATTTATTTATTCATTTTATTTGTATTTTAAACTACTTGTCGGCTCAAGAGTTCATAATAATAAATTAGTAACATCAGTGCGGCATATATTTGAAACTTCTAAAGAAATAGAGATCGTTGTGTGAGTAAAAGACATCTCAGAACACCATACAGTATTTATAGATCGTTGTGTGAGTAAAAGACATCTCAGAACACCATTCATTACTTATAGATCGTTATGTGAGTAAAAGACATCTCAGAACATCATACAGTACTTATAGATCGTTATGTGAGTAAAAGACATCTCAGAACACCATACATTACTTATAGATCGTTATGTGAGTAAAAGACATCTCAGAATACCATACAGTATTTATAGATCGTTATGTGAGTAAAAGACATCTCAGAACACCATACATTACTTATAGATCGTTATGTGAGTAAAAGATATCTCAGAACATCATACAGTATTTATAGATCGTTGTGTGAGTAAAAGACATCTCAGAATACCATACAGTACTTATAGATCGTTATGTGAGTAAAAGACATCTCAGAACATCATACATTACTTATAGATCGTTATGTGAGTAAAAGACATCTCAGAACATCATACAGTGTTTATAGATCGTTGTGTGAGTAAAAGACATCTCAGAATACCATACAGTATTTATAGATCGTTATGTGAGTAAAAGACATCTCAGAACATCATACAGTATTTATAGATCGTTGTGTGAGTAAAAGACATCTCAGAACACCATACAGTATTTCACTTTCTAGTTTGATACTCTGCGCTAATTATTATATTACTTTGCTATTATAATTCCCAGAAATGTATAAAAATGGTTCTTATCCACAGTTTCTCTTACACAATTAGCATGTTTAGAATTTCAATGCACTGGATATGACATCTTATTGTATTTTCCCAAATTCAAACAAGGATTCATGAAACTGACAACTTCTGAGTTCACATGCTAAAAAACCAGAGTTGAGTCTAATGTCAGTTCCAAGTCCAACTCTGAGAAGCTATTCTATCTTGGCGAACTGATGCTACTGTACTACCACAGTGTCAGATTTTTATTGGGCTGAATTATTTACAGTAGGTGTCTGTGACTTGTTGACAATAAATTTAACGATAAACGGACATCCACTTATTGTAGAATAATATATATATATATGTTCAAAACTAATAAAACGTATGTATAAAAGTTCGTTACCACAGCTTTAAATAATAATTCTCTTTTAACACAGAGCGGTTCAATTACTTTAGAAACCAATTGACAAGACAGATTATTTCCTCTCTCCTCTGTTATAACAATACAATAAGTGATAAATTCTCTTACTTTACCCCGTGGGTTACCACAGTTGTATCCAGAGCTTTAAATAATTCTCTCCTTTTTTGTCAAAAGTTCACACAGGCTGGTTCAATTACTTTAGAACCCAATTGACAACACGAACTATTCTTCTCTATCTATGTTGTTACAATACAAGCTGTGAAACTCACTTCAAAATCATCACTATAACCGTTCGTTAGCACAGCTGTATCCAAAACATTAAATAATTGTCTCCTTTTCGGCAAAGTCCACACAGGCGGGTTCAATTATTTTCGAACATCCTTTGACAAGACAAATTCTTCTTCTTTATCTCTGCTATTACAATACAAACTGTGAAACTCTCACTTTATAAATTGCCCATTATGGCTAAACTGACAACCACAAAGTCTGACTTCACTTTCACTAACTTAACGTTTTCTGACTTACTTCTTCGGACTTATTTTGTTGGTTATCACAGTTGTGTCCATAGTTTTAAATAATTGTCTGTTTTTTTGTAAAACGTCCACACAGGTTGTCAATTACTTTAGAACCCAATTGACAAGGCAAATTATTTTTCCTATCTTTGTTGACAAATACAGCTGTGAAACACATTATAGAAATCACCCGTTAAAGCTATATATACCTTTTCCAATTGAGGCCTCGAACTTTCTACAAACTACAAGACGCTGTAATGTAACAATACTTACTTAAGGCAACGAGAAAAATACAGAAGGTTCGAGTAACATGACGTCATATTACAACAACTGAACAACACACACAACGTACGACTCGTACCAAGTTACCTAACTTGTCACAACTATCGCGTTTAAAATAATTACTTTTAAAACTCTTCTCATGAAAACTAAATACTCATTGAATAATAAATCACTAAATAATAACTCTTACACTAAACAGTCTTGTATATCCAACACGCACAAATGCGATGACGTCATAAAAATGGGCGCAAAAATCTCACCACATAACTAGATCTTATGGGGAAAATATCTTCGAGAGCGAAAATGTCTGACTAGTTTACACCTCTCTATGCTCTAGTGTACTAATTGAACGTTGTATCGTTAAAGTGCATATCTCACTTCTAGGTGGGATATTGTTGATAATAAATTTTTAAAAATATTGTATGCATTTGCAGGTTTTAAACCTCGTCCAGTCTTTCGTGTCTGTTCGTGTTCCATTGTATGTTTCGTATATTTTCCATTCTCCTGTTGCTACTGGCGGATGGCAACACAATGATCTTATATCACACATGCGACTCACTTTCGTCTACGACACCGCCATCTTGTGGAAGAACGGAATAGGAGCTCCAGAGGAGTCTCAGCTTCAGGGTACGTACGAAAAAACAAACAAAAATGTGATAACGAGAAACTATAGCTGCATGAGCTAAAAGTTGCAACTATAATGAAACTGATGTTCAGATTTCATCAGACAGCAAATGACACAGAAATCTTACTCCGTATTTAGTATGCAAGCGGAAGAAAAGTTTTCATCTGTAAACGATAAGATCTTGAACATTAAAAATAAGACAGCAAGCCTAATCACAATTGAATAACGAATTAAATTTATTTCTCAGGTAATCTCTACCCTACTGGCATGAGAATACGAGAAGATGGACGACTAGTTGTAAACTTTAGAACAGAACCTCGGTTCAAAGGCCGGTTTGTACTTAGTCATCCAGGTAAGGACTTCAGTTCAAAGGCAGATTTATACTCAGTTTTCCAGAGTAGAATTTTGTACTAAAGACTATTTTATTCTTTGTCATTCTGGTAAGGACTTTGTTTCAAATACTTATTTATATTAGGTTATATCAGAAAAAAACATTTGGTCCAATGCAAGTTTGTTTCAATTCATGCATGAAAAACAAACAAACTTAGGTTCAAAGGTTAGTAATTACTCAGCCATAGAGGTAATGACATTGGCTCACAATAATGTCAGTAATCAGGTAACTTTGTATCAAAGGCCTGTTTCTATTTCTTAAAAACTTTGAGTTGAAAGTCTATTTATGCTCAGTTATACAGGAAAAAAACTTCATTTGAACGACTAGCTTGTACTGGGTCGTCCACGGTATTATCTCTTTTCATAGGCTTGTTTCTACTCATTCGTTTAATTATTACCTTTGATTCAAAAGCCAGTTTTCACCCAGTCACCTGGATAAAAACTTTGATTCGTAGTTCATTGCAAGCTCAGTAAGTTATTGCTCTAATGTCAAAATTTGTTGAAGATCAGTATATTCAAAAGCATAGACTTTGCCATTTGGAAGTAATGTGTGGCAAAGAATCTAAGTAGGACAACGGTCAAGGTAATTTTCTACGTTCTGAAAAAGTTTTGATATTAATAGACAGCTTGATTTGGGAGAATTTATCTTTTTACTAGCTCCCATTTGAAACCAGATGTAAGGTAAATTGATTAAAATATAAAAACATTTGCTGCCTACTATATTATTTATATTACAAACAGATAGACTTGGACGTGTGATGCAGATATAATGATTTTTACAGGAAGTGGTCTTACGTCCATGGTGATGTCACAGGATCAACCGGAACTGACGTTTACTTTGGAATTAATTCGTAGTGAGCCAACTTACGCCCAGCCTGAACAGCAATGGGAGTTCGTCTCAGATCTAGCAGTAAGCCATTCTCAATTAACTTGATTTTGGATTAAAGGAAAAAAAGCATTTTATTCGGACATTCTGAGTCTTTTTGACGAAATTTCATGAAACTATTTACACGGTATTAGTATGGCTTGTTTAACTGCAATAATATCAGATTTTCTATCTATACGTTAATATACATTTATAAAGGATTCAAATGAAGATTTTATACTGTGTAAATCTGCTTACATTGTTTGGATATTTTTTTCAGATTTCAAAATTTTTTTCTTTACCACAGCTAGACCAGTGATCGAATATAAACTCCATGAAAATGGTGTTTTCTTTTTTTTTTGTTTCAGGTTCGAGATTATTCTGGAAACTATCACGTTAAGTTGATTCCGTGCACTGCCACGGACACTATGGAATACTCCCACTCTTTGGAATGTAATCCTCGAGACCCAATCGTATTTGACCTCCAGATTCGATTTCAGCAGGTCAGTGACCCAGTGCCAGCAGAATTCAGCTTGAACACCCATTTCCACCTGATGCGGAAGAAAGCCCTCTGGCTCTCAGATGGGTCCATGGGATTCGGAGAAGATTCGGACGTTTCTTTTGTACCAGGTATGAATATAGTGTTTTGTTGCTAATTCAGTTTAGAATACTAAGAGAGAGAGAGTTGCGGTTGTAATAGCCAATTATTTTGTCGCTGACTTCTACTTTGGAGGCGTCTGAAGTGTAAAAAAACAAGAGAAGTGGAAAAGAGGCCTTTTTAAAGGGGTTTCAAAATATGAGTGTTTCTCTGAGATTTCCCAACTTTTATGGAACTTATTTTAATATTCGTGCTTTTTTTTCAACTTTTATTTTATTTATTTTCCCTGTTTTTATAATTTAATTAAACTTAATTTGGTAATGATATTGTGATGTTTACATTTTCTGGCAATGGCATCATCATGTCTTGATGGAAGTAGCCAACTACTGGTGGTTCTTGGGAGGATTTTCTGTATATCACAAAAACATGGAGCTGTCGTTAGTTATGTGTGATTTATATACTTATAAAACATCTGTTTAATTATTAAGTTCAGTATTTTTTATCACAGTTACATAAATCTGATTATTAACTGATCGATTACTAATTATAATATGATTTTGTTTGTTGTTTTTCTTTTAACGTAAAGCTACACATTGGGCTATCTGCACTAAGTACGCCACGGTGATCAAATCTCGACTTCTAACATTATAAAACCTCGAGTTTACTGTTTAGTTATTGAGGGTATTTTAAAATATGAATCTGTACTTCGGAGGTATTCCATTGATAAACTTTCTTGTAAACATAATGAAGAAAAAAAAAGCAAGGTGTATTTAGTATACTTTTAGACCAATTAGTTCCTACCTCCTAAGAAAAACTTTTGAATACAGTTTTATATGTAATCTGAGAAAATAGTTTTATTGAAATGAAAGCACCGTTCCGATTACACTATTTTATTCAACAACAAAAACAGCCAAGCATGAAGTGAAAAAGAAGGGGAGTTGGGGTAACTACAGATGCCGTCAGCGGTTTAACAACAGTATAGCGCTGTGTGTATAGAGTATTTACAGTCTGTGTTTTGAAACTCTATCCATAACACTTGGAACAAACGTCACCCAAGATAAAATGTTGACATAGATAAAATACGGTGTATTAGGCCAACTTCAATTTTAGTTTTGTAAGAGTTTCTTCAGAGATTTCGCTGTTTAAGGTACTGGAGTAGATCTGTGAATTTAACTCTAGTGCTTTGTCCTAACTTGTATTGCAAACAGTCAACATATGAATGAATGTAAAGCCTACTGTGTATGAGATTTAAGAAAATATCTGTTTGCAATATACAGGTGGATCCTACCCAGAAGAATTTGACTTAAGAGAAACGATTTGTTTATCCAGCTCAACTTCCGATTGCTGTTTCGTAAGCTTGGTGGCTTCTAGTGCTAAAATTCATTGTTCGATTCCTACAGTAGACACAACGTAGATAGCCTATGTGCAGCTTTATGTTTAATACAAACATTAAACTGTTTAATCAACTTATGGATTGTGGGATAAGAATCATATTGATTAATTTTGTTGTACGATGCGCGGTTTATGTTTATACAGATACAACTCAGAGTGTCAAATAAATGTTTACCACTGGTACTTGTTGTAGGAGACACGGTTTATGTTTATACAGCTACAACTCAGAGTGTCAAATAAATGTTTACCACTGGTACTTGTTGTAGGAGACACGGTTTATGGACGCATAATGGTAGATCCTGTCCAAAATCTAGGAGAGTCTTTTTACATGACCATCGAGAAGTGCTTCCTATGTACAGGAGAAGATGGTTACGTACCCAAGTACAACCCTGATAACTACGAGTACGGATGTATGGCTGAATCTCCTAACTTGCTGCACACTTTCAAAATCATTGTAAGTATTAAATATGGTTAAATTACCATTACTTACGAACATGTAATGATTTTGTACGTTATAACCTATTTTATGAACGTGAACATATGTGCAGAGTACGTATGTAGCAGTTATATCCATTATTTATGAACGCGGACATCTGTTGGTTGTCTGCCTGTGTGTGTTAGTGATAATCAGTGTTTAATGTTCATAAAGACGTATTAAGTGCTTACAGTTTAGCCTTGTTTTTTATCATAAACAATTGCGCCATTCGTCAACAATTATAACTTGCTTGCTTCCATTACATGTGCTTACAATCATTCAAACTAACGTGTTTATGCTAAAGTTCCGAAAGGCTTACATGTGCTTACAATCATTCAAACTAACGTGTTTATGCTAAAGTTCCGAAAGGCTTACATGTGCTTACAATCATTCAAACTAACGTGTTT